TCATTTAACAGAAAACTAAAAATGGATGAAAATCATACAATTGAAGAATTAAGATGTAGAGTTTGCAGTGTAAAATTGGTGGATATATTAATACTTCCCTGTAAGCATGTTTTGCTATGTCATAGTTGTTTAGAATAATTTCAAACGCAAAAGTGTCCTCAATGCCAAGCAGAAATTACAGATTGGATAAACGTTAAGATAGACATGAAATCTATATGTTGGTTTCAACAAAAATAATGTTAAATAATAATAAGATTTAAAGCAATAACAAATATTTGCTCTCTACAATAATGAAATTAGATCTCCAAGAGTCTAAATGATTTGTAAATCATTTTTTTTTTGAAATAAACTGTTAATAGATAGAACCTTGATAATTAGACAATATAAGCTGTCAAAAATGACACATGGAATTGCTGACACTGGTCCAGAATATTAACAAACTCAACTACGCCCTGGGGCAAAAAAAAACGAGGTATAACCATGAGACGGCATACAGTTGGCTTGGTGAAATTGCGGTATTTTACATGTCAGAAGCTACTGAGTTCCTGAGCGGAGAGGCTGCTTAGAGAGCCATGTAAAACAGAAGAGAAGAAAGCAAATATGAGCTTGAGTAAATCGGGTCAACACTCAAGAATGGATACCAACCAACGGCTGAATCAAAGCTTGGCACCGAGATTTACAATGGGTTGGTATATGACGAAGTCACACTGGATTGGAAGAATGTGATGGCAAACATGCTGAGCGATAACGACGAAGATTCTCAATCATTTACTGGTCTTCTACTGCTCAACCAGAAACCCCAAAAATTGAAATGTGAAGTATAAATTTTATGAAAAAAAAACCCTAGCCCTGATATATTACCACTTGCATATCAGTAGCCCTGTCTGAACTATTTTCTTTTGATAGAAATGTCAAATGAATTATTGATAACGTTACTTTTATGAAATGTTAGGAAGTGTAGGAAAAAGTTTCAGTCATTGAATTATTATTTACAAAAAGCACCTTTTATGTAGAGTAGACCTGCTTCAAAGAATTTGTAGTTTGTATATTGAGTTTTTAAAGAGCAATTTCTAGATGCTGAAACATAATCAATAGCTCTGAAAAGAATAGTTATATAAATCATATTCATAATGGAACAGAAAAATATTACTGACTTGCATCCGGAATGCAAATTACATTCTTTTAAACAGACATCAACACTTACTGCTTTATAATCAGTATTCCATATGGGAGAAACAAAGGGTGGGTCTGAAACAACTACCTTATTCTCCCAAATATGATAAAAGTTGTCCGATAATTGAGGTTGTGTATCTTTCACAAATAATACAAAGTTATCACGATAGCTCTTGCCTGTATATGAACTCTTTAAATAGCAAGTTCTTGTTAGCATTCTATAATCAATTGCTCTAAAAAATTTCAAACATATTTAGTACTTTTTTGTTTCTGTCACGAATTAACTTGCTTGCATTCTTCATACAAATTGCAAACAGCAAAGCATTCCTCAATTGAAATAACACTATAGTCAAGTCCACCCCATTTAGGAACATAAAATATTATGTTAGGTTCAGCAACTTCATTCTCATACTGTTTAAAACCAAGAAGTTCTTGTTCAGTAAAGTATTGAAAAAATATGATGATATAGGAAAAACTTTGGAATAACAGTTTCATACTTCCATGAAGAAAAATTTTTTGTATAAAACTTGATTATTGCAAAAATTCGGAATGAACAGGCAGATAGTCAATTATTCATTGCTACGTACAAATAAATATAGATAATCAATTATATCAATTAATATTCATCATGTTTTTTCAAGAATCCATGAATTGAAAAGAGTTGATAAAATGGATCTCTGACAACTTTAAAAGTTGCATCAATGAACCAAATTTTACAACATTCCAGTAATTCTATTTGATGATTTGTGCCAAATATTATACAACAATTTTTCTTTTCTTTTATATCTCTCAATAAGAAATCAATTGGAATTTCATCCAGATTTATTTCAAAATCTAAATGCCTTGGATGCTTTGGTCTTTTACTCTCTTTATATCTAGAAGCTTTTGTTCTTAATGATTCTAGTTCTGGCAAGTCTTCAATACTATCTTTAAATTTAAGGATAATATCTTCTGCTATTCTTTTACCAGTTTTTCCATTGTCACCAGTTGCCATTTCTTTTAAGTCCATTCTTGATTGAAGAACACTGTCTATGTTTTTATGCAGTTTATGAAGATGATTTTCATTTTTTACAATGAACTTTGATCCCTTTTGTAATATGTATGCAGGACAAGGAGCTTTGGCATATCTCTGAGTACATCTCCAGGTGATTGAACTTTCAGCTTTTCTTTTTACAGAATATGAACAGTTTTTGTGTAGAAGTAAGTCTTTATTTTTTGTACTTCCACCTACAACTATTTCGAAATCATCTCTTTCTGTTTCTATGATGTTATACTGCTTATCCATCGCAAATGAAGTTTCATCACTTATATCAACTCTCTTTGCCATGTCTTGTCCATCTTCAGGAAAGTTCAACTCTTTTTCATTGTTTGGTGATTCAGGTAAGTTGATGTCAAAGGAAAGTCTTAACTGCTAAAATTTATGGTGAAATAATAATATCTTTGAACAAATGAAATTACCTGATTTGTATTTGTTTCACTTGTATTATTCATTGATGATTCTAAATTAACAACAGTTTCATCATATTCTGGATGAATTTTACTCTGACAATAATGATCTATTTTCTTTAATTTAATAAATAACTTTTGTTTGCTGACATCATGACAATCAGGACAATAATCTGCATCTTAATATATAGGTGATATAGCATTATACCTGAGAAAGTTAGAGAGTTTACTTACATTTTGAACACTTTGTATGATAAAAATGTCTGCACAACTTGCATCTGAATTTTCTTGTGTCCAATGAAATCTTAATCCACACTTCCAACAATTTTCAAATTCATGTTGTAATTTCTATTGAAGCTTCTATGATAAATGAAGAAAAGAAATATGCTTTCTACTTTTTCTCAAAACAGGAAAAGGAAATTGTAAAACAATGTAAAATATACTTCAGAAATAAGGAAAACTGGTATCCATTATTCTGAAAATATTTTGAATTTTATAATAATTATTTTACATATCTGGAATTACTATATTACATTACTTGTTATATTTTTTATTAATTTTAAAATTGATTTGCTTTTTCTTATTTATTGTATTTAATTCATAATTAACTCAAAAAGTCATATAATGGGCTGAAATGTCCTGGGCCGAAATGTCACTGCACCGGTTTAAGGTAATAATAATTTATTAATATCCTTTTCAAATTATCTTGCTTTGTACAGCAGTCAAATAGTTTGTATATATACTACAAACAAAAGTTTACAAAATTCAAAATTGTCTTTTTTTATGAAAGTAAAAAAAAGATAAAAATATTTTTTTTATAAAAAAAAAAGAAAATTTTTATATTTATTTTTTTTCCTGTCTTTTGATTTTTCAAGCAAATTCAATTTGTAAGTTTTTTTGTTTTTGTTGTTTTCAAGTTATTATTTAAAATTAATTACTTTTTTTCCAGCTTTAACACCAAGAGAATGTACTCAACTTGCCAATAAAATCTCCAATTGGATGGTCAAGGATATGCCCAAAACTATGTCAAATGAAAAATATAATCAAATAATTCGTATAATTTCTGATATTCTTTCATTTGACGTAACGAAACATGATAGTGGTGATGATGGTCAATTTGCAAATTTTATCTGTAATATTTTAAATGTTGAATCGAGAATGGAAATGAACGAAAATATAGTGAGATTGTATACTAAAAATTTTGATAGTGCAGATATGTTATATGGAATTGAGACATTCTATGATAAAGCAAAATTTTATCTTCGCCATGATCGATTTATATATTCTGTAACGCAAACGAAAGATTTATTTAAATATATTAGAAAGAAAATTGATAGGAAAAATCTTTCAAAATTCAAAATGGAGGAAATACTTAGGGGCTTAACCAGATATATGTTTGTAATGTTTGGATCAGATTGGATAAATTTTTTAGATACCTTCTTCAATCATAAAATTAATTATGAATCACGTGACAATAGTAATAAAGAAATTGTTGATCAAGCAATAGGTAGGTCAGTAGATGAAGTTTATTGAAAAAAATTGACTCTTTCCCTCTCTTTGTTTCCCAGTCAATTATTTCAGTGGAAACACAGGTCAATTCTTGCTTGTTCTATTATGCATTCAAAAGATTTAGAAGAATTTAATGAAAACTTTGGTGAATATTTCTACATACCAAAAACTACTCTTGAACAGGTTGAACAGTTCGTTAATCCTTATCTCTTTTCTGCTGAGCATTATCAAGAAATTATTAAAATTACTGAAGATATATTGTCATTTATATGAAAGACAAAAATACTGTTGAAATGGCCTGTAGATATTATGGAAAATGAAATGAAATTATTTTTAGAAAAATTAACAAAAAATCACGGTGAAAACTGGTTTGAAAAATTGCAATCTTTTCACCTATTTGGTAATTTTAATACAAAAACAAATGAGGAAATAAGTAAATTATTGACTAGTTCATTAGCAGGTAAGATATTTTGATAGAATTGTATAGTTTAATCTCTCTTCCTCTTCTCTCTTTTAGATACTCAAAACAATTTTGAATTTATTGAAAAGTTGAATCTAGACACTTTTTCCAATATGAGCATTCTAAGTCATTTTAAAAATTTTATGTTAAAGGATATTCCTCTCAATTGGAAAGAATTGATCACAATGGGTAAACAACTTGTTGACATTTATCACGATTTTCAAATTAAAATGACTCCTAAAACATGTAATCCAAACGAATATAAACTGGTACAAAAATTTGAAAACATTTTCCAAAAAAATTTATAGATAAAAACTCCTATTTTTCCTTCTTTACCAAGTATTTTCCCAGATAATAAAGGTCAAGGTCACGTTGGAAAATTTTTGTATACAATAGCTGAAATAGGGAGCAAAATGGATGGTAAAACTTTGTCTAGATCCATTAAAACTTGGACAAAAATTTTAGAAGGATTTCAACATTTCGAAAAAATGACAGGCACAAAGAAAAATAAAGCAATAATTAAAGAATTTGTTGTACATTATCTAATCAATATCACAGAATCTATGGGACCTGATTGGACATTTTATTTAGATCCAAGTTCCAGCTATCAACTTCGCCCATCTTTGTACTACAATTTCGCAAATTCATACAGACACACATTTATAGCTGATGCTCTTGTAGATTCTAAAAGCGTAGATGAATTCAATAAGGACTTAAACTTTATATACAAGAAAGGAGATACCAGCAAATTTATCTTTGAGTTGGTTGAAACTCTTTCAAATAGCGATTGGAGAAAAATTGCTGACACTCTTCAAGAATTTGCTAATCTTTTGATTGAGAATAAAGATACAACTATTCTCAAGAATTTAAAGAAGATATACATGATTTTGCCTCTCGCTAGTTAGTTGTATTATATAAATTAAAATTTGTCCTATTTTGCAAATTTTTTCAACTTTAGAATAAATCATTGGAAATTCCAATGACAATATAAACAACAAAACAGAAATAATATCAGAGAGATAAGTAAAAAAAATCCAAAGTAATGACTTTTTATTGCGGTAGTATCAGATATGAGCGCTATCACGATAAGTTATCTTGGCCATATACTAATAAAATATTCAAAATGTCTTCGTCACGAAATGCTTCTAATGGAAGAATGCTACAAAACGATATAAAAGAGAGATTTAGTAAGTATTCATTACGTAAACAGTCTAAGAAAACAATGGACATTACGGACAGTACGAACAGTAAACTTTCCAACATTCTTTCAGGAAGTTTGTCAACAGGAAATAACTTAAAAGAAATTAATATTGAAAGTTGTAATCTGAACAAAGATCTATGCTCAGGAATTGCAAATGTATTGCGAAATTACTCTAAAATTGAAAGAATAAATCTAAGATGGAATTATAATATTGAAAATGGTCTGCCAAACATTTTGAATCAACTTTTATCATCAAAAAATACTATAAAACATATCTGTCTTAAAGGATGTAATCTAAGAAAAGATCAATGTTTATCTATTGAAAATCAACTGAGTAGCTGTTTAAAAATTGAAAGTATTGATCTGAGCGATAATTTAAATATAAAAGATGGCTTATTAAACATTTTTAATGGGCTTTTATCATCAAAAAATACTATAAAAGATATCAATCTTAATCATTGTAATTTAACAAAGGATCATTGCTCAATTATTGAAAAATTCTTCAAAGTGTGTTTAAAGCTTGAAAGAATAAACTTATGTGGAAATTTTTATATCAAAGATGGATTTTTAGATATTTTTAACGGATTATTTCCATTATCAAATACACTAAAAGATATCAATTTTGCATTTTGTAATCTTAGTGAAAATGAAGGAATTCTCATTGGAAAGATGTTGGAAAATTGTTCAAAAATTGAAAAGATTGATTTAAGCAATAATAGTGATATGGGAAATTCATTATTAAAGATTTTAAATGTCCTTACTAAATCATCAAATACATTGAAAGATCTTAATTTCCATGGATGTGATCTAACTGCCAATCATTCTGTTCAAATTGGAAATTTAATTAGGAAATGCTTCAGGATTGAAAGAATAAACTTAAATTTGAATGAACAGTTAGGAGATGAATTAATAAATGTTTTTATTCATCTTACCCAATCAGCGAATACTTTAAAAGATATCCAGTTTCAAAGATGTCATCTAAACGAAATTTGTAGTATAGAAATTGGAAAATTGTTAACAAAATGTTCTAAAATCGAAAGAGTATATTTAAGTTGCAATAGGAATATGAAAAATGGATTATTAAACATTTTAGATGGATTTCTTCCGTCATTACATACATTGAAAGATATCCGTCTCATGGACTGTAATATAACTGGAAATGTTTGTAAACGCTTGGGATATGTTTTGGGAAAATGTGCTAAAATAGAAAAAATAGATTTGGGTTGGAATGAAAATATGAAAGATGGATTATCAGATATTTTAGTTGGACTTTCTCACTCATCAAATACTTTGAGAGAAATCAATTTTTCAAACTGTTTTCTCAATCTCAATGAATGTAATGATATAGGAAATTTACTGAGAGAGTGCCATCTTATAGAACATATAGATGTTAGTGAAAATGAAAATATTGGAGAAGGTTTATTAAAAATTTTTTCTCAGCTTGTTCATTCGGAGAACAGCTTAAAATTTATAGATTATACGGAATGTAATTTGAATACTGATCAGCATAAGGAATTTTATCATTTTCTCTTAGCCAATCCTAAAATAATGCAAGTATGTGAACAATGTGATCAAAATTATCTTAGAGACTCAAGTTGCTAGGATGATTTTTTGAAGCTTTCATCTTGTTTAATCTACTGATTAAATATATAAAAAGGGTAGTGAGAGCGAGAGAGAGAGAGAGAGTACATTTTTACAACTACTGAAACTATATCAGATGATTAACTTGCATGTTTGTTTATTTGTTTGCTTGTTGTACTGCTCTAGCTTTGCTAATTTAATATATCAATAAAGTAATTGAAAATATCGTGCCCTTATGATCTTCATTGTCAATGCACTTACCTTTCAAATGGTGAGTTACATTAACCAACTGCAATCAATCAGATAACAGGATGTCATTAGATCTGCAAAGGCCGGACTAAGATGAAATACATTTTTTCTCGATTTATTATTTCATATATATCAAGTAAGATGTTCTCATTTTTCAACTAGGTCTATCTTAGATACTACAAATCCAACTAAGCACATCTGCCTTGCTTATGATAAAGTAAATCTTTCTCAAGGGTTTGGGGAAACTACCCAGTAAGTTAAAGTTTAGGGTTAGATTTTGGACATTTCATCAGATAGTCAAATTTTCATTTTAATCTTTTTTAGCTGGTGTACGTCTGAACTATGGGTTAGTAAAAACAGATTGGAAAGAAGTTCAATAACTAGTAGGTTAGGGTTAAGGTTAAACATTGAAAAGTTGGCCATTTTCTTCCAGACTCCTATCTCATTGTTCATTTACTATATCATTTAATGGAGTAGGGTTATATGACATGAAAAAACTGCTTAAACTTTAAAGATAATATCGAAGACTTGTCAGAATTGGAATCACTAAGAAGTAAAGTTTCTAAATACAAAGAAAGTAAACGACCAAATCATCCAAGAGATTTAAATTTTGGAAAAAATACGGATGAAATTACAATGGACGTCTTACTGAGCGATAGAAAACAAAAGTAATAATCCAGCTTAGATTTTTTTACTCTAAATAAAAGTGTATTTTATTGTATTGTAATTGAAGGAATATGGTATTTGTCCTTTCCAATCATTTACGAATTCACCAAAGTACTCAGACGAATAGAACCTTTCAGTTTCGTCCACAAATAGTTTGATAAAAGTGTACATTCAGCAGAAATTAATCAACAAAATACAAGTATTTCATGCAAAGAATAAGTGCTTTCAAAAATTTCTTCAGAAAATTCATTGGAATATCCATCAGAGACGATAAATTGACTTTTTTCCAATATGTTTAACACTAGGATAAAAATGGAAATAAATTATTTAACAATAACTTATTGCCAACAATTTAATGAATGTTTAAGAGTGTTGAGGCTTAAAACTATACTCTCAGTGTCCGTCTTTTTTTATTGGTCTCTTTATGATAAATGAAATAAATAGTAACCTTTGAGTACTGCTGTGATTCTAGCTTTATTAATCATTTTAAGACTATAGAAATAAAAGAAAGAATGATCAATCACGTGACATATAAGAAAAAACATATATATTGAAAGAAAAGGGACAAAGGGCAGTGAACAGAATAGTGTTGAAATTGTATCAAGGTGAAATTCTTAGTGAATCTGATATTGTGGATTTTTTTTTACTTTAACTGGAATAAAATCGCCCAGAATCTTAAATAAAAATCAACTATTCTGAACCTTCATCCCTTTTCCCAATAACATACTTAAACAATCTTTTTTGAGTCTGTTTCGATTTTAAAATATCAAAAATATCATTTAGGGAATACATAATAGGATTTAATAATGAAGTTAATGGAAGAGAAATGGCGACAATGGCAGAATAAACATCATTAGAAATATGAATTTCAATAAAAACAGCTAAAATTCCAATGATAGAAACTGGTAAACAACATAAAACATTTGACATTACAAGTATAAAAACTAATTTAAAAACTTTGCAGGCATTTCTTTTAATTTTTTCATTGTCTTTAAATATGAAAAATGAGTGTAGAATAGTAATTGATATATTTATATAGAGGATACAAATCAAAATAGTAATTGCTAGTAGTCCACATCCAAAAGTTACAAATGAAAATATCCATCCATCAGTTTTTTCACTTCTTATATAAACAGAAAAGCAGATTGGTGTTTTTCTGAAAGAATTCTAAAGAAATAAAACCTATAACTTATTTAAAGCTAATATTTTTAAATGAAAAAAAACCTTAAACCATAAACTCTGCACTAAAGCAATGAAAGAACACAAAAGAAATAGTAAAATCATGAGTACTATGTTAAGTTGTTTAATTTTGGAATGTTTATTGGCGAAAACAATTCCTTGGTGCCTTTCTAAAGTCATTAGAAATAGACTCCCGCATGAAAATAACACTGAAAATGTTACAGATGATCCTAAAAATAGACACAATTTGCCTTCTCTCCACAGTGAATCATTTACAATATATTCATTTTTATAATATAAATCAACAACTGCAATACTAAACATATAGACTGATGTTAATAAATCACCAACAACTAATTCTGCTAGTTCACAAATTTCTTTTGTTTTAGCATTAAATACAAAATAACTTATTTTCAAATATCTTAAAAGGAAATAAAAGTTCAGTATTTTTGAATTTATGGCAAAAAAATCTGTAAAATGGAATAAATTTAATAACAAGTTGATAAATAACAAAAATATAAAAATTGTTGATCACATGACTAATATCGCATGAGCAATATTTTTAGACAGTAAATAATCAATGCTTTCAAAAAGATTAAACATAAATGTAGATTGGTTAATAGTCAAATCATCAGAAAATTTTCTTATGTAACACATACATCTTGATGTTGTTTTAAAGCATTTTATACATAATACATTTTCAGCTGTTCATCTTAAGAAGTATGATTACTATAAGTCATATGAATTGAAAATGTGTTATATTTACATGTCTAATCCTTTTTATCATCTACTTTTAATAGAAATTTGAGAATTTGCACATTGTTAAATGCACGTTTAAATATAAAAGTAACATTACTATTAAGTTATTAATTCATGGGCTTTAAATTTTAAAATATCATAACCATATTGCTTTTCAATTTGAAGTGTTCGCTACCGGATGTGTGAATGTAATATTACTTATAAAAGAACTTTAAAGGTTTTCTCTGTAGTATGAGTACTTTGGTAAATGATTGAAAAGGATTAATTAGA